AAACCAAAACCCTTTTGGTACAAAATACAGTAAGTATCGCGTGGAATCACATTCCCATAGCAGGATGACAACATTTCAAGAGGTAAAAATCACGGGTGAGCCCAAAAATAATTTGTGAATTAATATAGCTCAAAATTCTGAATTGAGGAAAAGGTTCTCTCAATTCGGAACGATGAGAAGAAATGCACCTGGTGGCATCCTTTCAGGGATTTGACTTAAATCTGTAAAATTAAATATACCTTTATAGGCGATTCTTAGATCCAAAAGTTTTGTTTCCGGGCTTTTAGAGGCGTGATCTAGCACGATTCTTACTGTTTTGTATTAATTTTTGTTAAGGAACCCTCCTGGAATTTGTTCCTAGAATTTTTAAGATAATAAATCATTCCAGCATACCATACACTGTACCAGTCGCCATAGCATTAGAAAAACTTGAAAAGTGCTGTAAAGACGAGTTCATACCTACTTCATGTGTTCAGTTAATACATTGAGTACTACATCAGAACTTGGGACCCCAACGAAGCTGACCGACACCAAGAGCAAGGCTAACCCAACCTGTTTTCAAATAAACTTACTGTTCGGATAAAATGCACCCAAAATTGAACTGCTAAGTATATGACTTTTTTTTTTAGCTGTGATACAAATTTAGCGACATTACAGAAATTTGTTTCCCGGAAACGTTGATTAAAGCTTAAAGCCACAAACTAACAAGATACCTGCATCCGCAGACCTTCGGGCCAGTGAGAAACCTTCTTTGTGTTTCAGAGAGAAGTCAGACTTTGAGAACTGAATTCACTTCTAAGAGCTTTCCCATCCAAACACATCGCGGTAGAAAGCAGGAGACTGACGGAAGAGGCCGCTCGTAATACGCCCAGGCATCTTCCCAGCGGACTGCTCATCTTATCACATGCCGGTCAACGGTCAAGTGTTGCAATTCTGAGATAGCTTGGATGTTCTCGACTTCATCGAAATCATCTAATGCGCATTCCCCTCAAAGCTTGGCTTACGTTGTACGTAGTACAAAATCATTTCCATCTACTTATGTTGATATTGGATTACTCCAATGTACTTTATTTTCCCTTTTCAGTCATTTTCTTATTGGGAATCTGTGTGGGAAAAAAATTGCACCTCAAAACTGGCCCCGGGGAACTGGGACAGCGGTAAAGCGCTCGTCATGCATCAATTCTCACGAGAAAAATAGAACTCAGAGAAAAGCCAATACGTGCTTGTACAAATATGAAATTAAATATACGCGATTTCTCGAAATAGTCGACAGCTTCCATCTCGTCGAAACTGGATAGCAACCGATGAACCGGATGTAACAAATGCACACTCGAGCCAACAAAAAAAAAAGAGAAATATGTACTCTTTCACTCTTCACTCCTTTGAACCATCAACTATTGCTGGATTAGATTCCCTGCTGTGCATGGCGGGCGGTCTAGCAGGGTATCTGTCTCAGCCAGTTCTCCGAATCATCGGAGGATTGCAGTGAACAAGCTCGAAAATGACTTTCGAGGCATCATATTTTTTTGCCCGCCTACACAGAGTTCCTTTGAGTGACTTGTACAGCATCCGGTTATGAAGACAATTGTTACCATCATTTTCGTAGTGGGCCCGGCAGAATCGCAGCAAGTCATCCTACTACGAGGAAACGGATAAATAGGGGTATTGTTTCCCAAGAGAAAATCGCGGCAGGTATGGGGAAAAGGGGGAAACGGTGGATAATGGAAAGTGAATGGGGAAGAGCTGACCACCCCTTCTCGTCGTGTATGATGTAATGCCCGCGATGATTAGGCCGATGTGTCCACCACCACCATGATTCCTCCCCTCGGGTACGATTTTCCAAGGTTAGGCAGGGTGTTCCTTTACGGCCTCCAGGGCCTTCCCCTTCAGCAACTCGGACTCCTGTAGGCTCCCTTCCCCCTCCCCCTCCTTCTCCCCTCCCCCGCCCTCGTGGCCCTATATATATAAACGGGAATTCCTCCACCCAGTATCATTCCTCGGTTCTCCAACTTTCTATCTTTTTATAGTGCTCTACTCGCCATCACCAGACATGGCCCTATTCCAGGTGAGATGCACTCGGGGACTGCATGTATCGAGTCATAGGTGTCTGTGTTATCCGTGTAGTAGGCATATATTCCTGTGCAAAAACTCCAGCGACGCCTTTTCATCGTCGAACTTGCGAGAACTGCAAACGTCTACCTGAACTAAGTTTGCGTTCATGGGATAGCAGATCGTCTCGCCAGTGCAGCATGCAATTGATTCTGATTGCATGAAGAGTGCCACGATTCCTTTGGTTTTAACCTGGGAAACCATAGTCTTCGATTTTGAAGGACCTTTATGCGGCAGTTTTTGTCGACGAGCTTAACTTCTTTTCGTAGCCCTTAATGGGTTTCCATCGGTTTGATTGGTCCGAGGTTATAATGCCGCCAACATTCGTAAGCAGCTGGAAGTAGCCCTAGTAGCATATAACATTGAAACAACATTGATTCTATATTGATTCCAAATCCGGGCGTTGAACCAACGTTGAATCAATGTTGATTCAATGTTATATGCTACTAGGGTCGGCATTACGGGTAAAAAAGACGTAAAGGCTGACCTTAATTCTTCATTTGAAAAATCAGTCATATTTAATGAGTCATGTCAAACAATTACCCTTTAAAGGTCTGGAAAATTTTTTTTATTGATATTAGATACAAAGCCGAAATTTCACGAAGAAGGAAAAATAAGTAGCGATTGGAAAAAACTCAGCATTTCCATATTCCTGTTATGATGAAGAATCTGCATCACACTGATAACTACTTACTGCCTGATCACTACGAGTGCACCTCGCAAGGCAAAACGTGAGGCATGCATGAAATCCAGGAAATCATGGATTTCCAGGAGTCCAATTGCCATCTAGGCACCAGAAAATGGATCCCACACTTTTAAAACCATGCGAGTGCTAACTTCAGTTTTCTTCCCTTTTTGCTTTGAGAAGAGAGAAAAGAGAAGAAAATTACTCTAACTTTCTCTTCCTTTCGCCCTGGAAATGGACGAAAATGGAGGAAACAGAGAGGAAAACTGGAGTAAGCGCTCGTTTTTTCCCAAGAGTGTATGGCGCATGGAGCGAAAGAGGAGAGTAACTATGAAGGGAGCAGTACACTGATAATGTTTTCCCCTTGTAGGTGTTGGTATCAGCTGCCCTGCTGGCAGCTGCATCAAGCGACAAGACTCCGGTGTATACTTCCTCTTATTCCACCGATCCTTATTCCTCCGATACTCCATCCTCTTACGACTACAAGACCACCTCATCCTACAAGTCACCTGCCCCTTACAAACCCGAACCCTCCTACGGGTCTTACAAATCTGACGCTTACACTCCAGGTCCCTCATACTCACCCAAAGATTCCTACGATTCATACAAATCCCCAGTTCCCTACGAGCCGTCCTATAAGACGGAGTCATACAAATCCCCAGCTCCCTACGAGCCGTCCTATAAGACGGAGTCATACAAATCCCCAGCTCCCTACGAGCCGTCCTATAAGACGGAGTCATACAAATCCCCAGCTCCCTATGAGCCGTCCTATAAGACGGAGTCATACAAATCCCCAGCTCCCTACGAGCCGTCCTATAAGACGGAGTCATACAAATCCCCAGCTCCCTACGAGCCGTCTTACAAGACTGATTCATACAAATCTGACCCTTACAAGGCTGACCCCTACAAGGCTGATCCTTACAAGGCTGACCCCTACAAGTCCGACTCCTACAAGTCTGACCCCTACAAGGCTGACCCCTACAAGTCCGACTCCTACAAGTCTGATCCTTACAAGGCCGATCCCTACAAGTCCGACTCCTACAAACCTGATCCCTACAAATCAAAGCCAGATACCTACAAACCTGATTCTTACAAATCCGACACATACAAGCCCGACTCCTACAAACCCAAGTCGTCCTATAAGTCAGATGCCTATGAGCCGTCGTACAAGGCCGACGACTCTTACAAGGCATCTCCGTCTCATCGATCGGATTCTTACAAGTCAGGAGGGGAATACAAGGACGAGTACTACAACGAGGTAAGAATCAGAACTTGTTAGAAAGACGATCATGAGACAAGTTCGCAAGACACAGTAGGCTTATGTAACTTTTCTTTCGTTATTTCCTACAGAACCCGAAATATAACTTCCAATGGGCGGTGAAAGACGACTATGGGAACGATTATTCCCATTACGAGTCCCGAGACGGGTATCAGGTGCAAGGTGAATACCGAGTCCTTCTTCCCGATGGTCGGCTGCAGATCGTCACCTACACGGCTGATGAATACGGTTATCATGCTGATGTCAAGTATGAAGGCGAACCCAAGTACGACAATTATTCCCCGAAAGACAAATATTCTCCCGGCCCAGCCTACAAACCGAAGAGCAGTTACTCTCCTGCCCCATCCTACAAAGACGAAGAGTACAAGGCCCCGTCGTACTCCCCTGCACCAGCTTACAAACCCAAGAGCGATTACTCCCCGTCTCCTTCATACAAAGACGAGGACTACAAGGCTCCGTCGCACTCTCCTTCACCCTCTTACAGCCCAAGAGAGAGCTATTCACCAGAGCCATACTCCGACAAGTATTAAGGAGAGTTCACCGAGACTTCTCACTTCTGTCATTTTGAGTTCATCTGTGTCCTCGTCCGCGTCACTTCATGTTTGTACCAATGTTGCCAATTGTGCATAGATGGAACAGTAGGCCCGACAGTAGTTGAAGGTCTTTAGCCCTGTGATGTTCATTTAGTCCGACGATGTTACCGTGCCATGTCAGAGTCCCCTGTGACCGTGTCAACGCTTCCCTTTCTTTATTCCAGGGCTATATATATTTTTTTCTGTACATTATGACCTCTTTGCCAATGTGGTGCATTATTTATGAATAAAAGACTGTTTTCCTGCTCCATCCTGCGTTTTCTCGTGATTCAGCATTTGGGCGGAAATCAAACAGATCGTACACCGTCTCCACGTACACTAGCTTCAACTTTATTCCTCCCTTGGCCAACATCAAAAGCGTCACAATCAATTAGAAATGATTAACAGGCCAACGTCAAACAATGTATAAAAAAAAATTAAAAACGAGATATATCACATGAGATACTGCGGAAGGGAGTTCTACTCCCAGGCATAGGCTTGGTCGCAGTTTCTCCACAACAAATCAGAATCCCTGCGTGAAACAGGGGGAACATTGCACGACCGAGTGTGGTAACTTTCCTCATTTACTCGTCTTCTCTAGTTCGATTCATGGCCAAGCCTTTAGGAAGAAGAAGATTGGGATGAAGCTCACGACGGTCAACGAGAGCCTGGAGGCTGCATTGTGATCATCGTGGTCGTGATCGTGACCGTGATCGTCATCGTCATGATCGGCACTTCTCTTCACAAGGTGATCATTCCTTGGGGATCTCCCCTGAAATCTCACCCGACCTTCCTCTGGGTTGCTTTGTTGACTGTGGGTCTCGATGAGGGACCAGACATTATTGAGGATGGAGAAATCGTCGCCTTCACTCGGCGTTGGGGTTCGCATCTCTAGATCTGTAGCCGTGAAGCTGGGGAACGTGGGGGCATCCAGCCTTTCAGCCGATTCTGTCGGTGGGGCAGATGTCGGGCTCCATTCTTTTCCTTCTTCCGGCGACAATCTCTTGTCCTCTTCCGCTCTCAATTCCTTCAAGTCGACGACTGGTAACTCGGAATGAGAAGACTGAGAGACGATCGGAGGCCGGAGATTTACAGGTCTCTGAGGGAATACTTGAGGGGTTGGAACGTTGAACGGAGGGCGTCGAAATGGGACCTGGATTCGATTGATGGGTCTCCTCTGAATAGGTCGGGGTCTTCCACTACCTCCTGGGAATTGAGGCGGTGGAGGCATGAATGGTCCTACCAATTGCACGCGAGGATTATCAAAATTCTCGGGGCTCTTCACGTGTACACCGTCGCTCTTCTCCCTTGGAGGGACATGATCTTTATCTCCCGTCTCGGGATATAACTCCTGGGCAAACACAGGATCCTCGACTGTGTCGCTCCTGTCATTGGCTATGAACTGGGGACGAGGGCCCTGAGGATGTTGGAATCGTCGATTGGGCTGAGGTTGTCGGAGTCCGGGATTTCCTTGATTTGGGCCTGGACCTGGACGGAGTGGCCTTCCTTGGGGTCCCAGAGTTGGAGGTCCAACACGAAGCGGTCGGGCATTCGGGGGTGCAGGGCGTTGGGCTAGCAGAGGTGGCAGATTCGGGGTACGGGGGGGCGGACCTGGGGGCGGAGGGCGAAAGGGCTGCCTCGAAGGTGGTGGTCGTCGACCTCCTGGCCCTGGCCTCCCCACTTCTTCATTTTCATCCAAGAACACCACGTTTCCTTCTTCTTCGTCGTCGATGTCTTGAATCGCGTCTTTGATGGGCCGGACAGGCTGAGGTGGAGAGAGTTGACCATTCGGGGGTCGAGGAATTACAGGAGCCTTGGCATTTGGAAGGTTGACTCCTTGAGGGATCCCCAATCCCGGCTCCTCCTTCTCTGGTACATCAAACCCACCAAAATCTACTTGCGAGGGACGAAATACCGGATTGAATTCTTCCGGTTGTTGTCCTTGAAAAGGATTCTTATTGGGCTGGACCCGTGATTCCTGCTCTACAATCTGATTTTTATCTTTTTTAGACGGTACTTCAAATGCTGGAGGGATCGGGTCTGTCTTCTTTCGGATGGGACGAAACCCGCTTTCCACCACAATGGTAGACGGATCGAATCCACTATTCTGGAGAGGATCTAGATTAGGATTGACCTCTGACTGTTCATTTTCCCGATTGAACCCAGGTCTGGGAGGAAGTGGAACCAGGTGAGGGGGGACCAAGGGTCTTCTGTTCCCTGGGAAAGGTCGAGGAGGCCCTGGATGGTGTCTTCTGGGTGGAAATCCACCGGGTGGGGGAGGCAGAGGTTGAGGTGGCAGTCTTCCAGGACGCTGTTTCTGCTGAGGCTGTTGAGGGTGCAGAGGTTGGTGCGACTGCTGAGGTTGTTGAGGCGGTTGAGATGACTGTTGTTGAGGTCCTGGTCGTTTTGGTTCCAAATCCTCAGGTCCAGGGCTGACAGGGACAGCCTCGATCACAACCACTCCATCCTTCACAGATTCCTTCCCAGTACTGGGTTCCTTCTCAACCGGCTGATCATTGGCATAATCTGGTGAGTCCTCCCCGTAGTCCACATCCTTTACGTCGAAGGCAACATCTGGAAAATTCGGAAAACTTTCAAATGGAGCTCCAAATTCAAAATTTTCCCGGAAGCTGGTAGGGGGGCCCGGATGTAGTGGTGGGGGTCTGGGTCGTCGTCTGCCAGGCTGTGGTGGAGGAGGAGGTGGGCGACGGGGGAAGGTGGATTGTTTCCCACCTGTACTTTCTTTCTCCTTTCCTGGTCCAGGACGAGGCAAATTTCCACCTCTGGTAGGTAGGGGGACTCCCTGTGGAAGGACCTCATCCACGTAGGGATCATCTTCGTAGTCGTAATCGTAGTCGTCTTCGTGTTTTCCTGGAACGCCTTTGCCGATTGCATTCTGAGATTTGGAAGAGTTCACTTCATGGACGACACTCCCGGCGAAGGACCGATCAAAGTCGCAGGAGTCCACCACGTGGATCTTCCAGCCCAGATGGCGGTGAGTGTAACACTGCGAGACAAGAGAAAAGTCCCCACGTTTTTTTTTTATAAGGTGATCTATCAAGAATGCAAAAAACGGATTAGGTGGAAGAAAGGCCCATTACCTGATAGTAGACAAGGTCGGGAGTGTTGGCATCTGGAGTCCATTGGACGATCCCCGGCTGGCCGTCGGCGCACTGAAGCTTCAATGTCCTCTGGAAGGCGCCGAAAGATTTGAAGTTAGTCGCGGGTTTAGAAGGATCCGCCGTCCACTCGCAGGATCGACCGAACCCAGTCGGGAACGGATTCCCATTTCTGTCCACACCCACTCCGGCATACACTGCTACTTGCTGCGAAAGCAAATCATTTTCATCATCCTCGTCGTTACCATCATAACCAGCAGTACAAAGATAGCACTGGGGGAGGAAAAGGGAAAGAGGGAGAAAGAGAAAAAGCGCTTACCCGTCTCTGTTGGGGTGACTTGTGCTGGAAACCGCCTTCTGGATCATCGGTGATGTAGAAGGGATGGAATTTGGCGGGATTCTCAGAATTATCACCCCCTTCGACAACGAACGTGTAGCTCTTCCCCCTCACGACCGTGATCTCGGGGATGAGAAGTCCGTTGATGTACCATGAGATCCCCCACCCGACGTGACCTGCAGTATTTCATCATAGCCGTGTTTATGTCTCGTGTAGGAGAGGGGTGAAAAGCCAACGATAGATTTTATACTGACAGCAATGATGGAGTGGAATGAAACAGACCTGTGATAGCCTCGTATCCTGCCTTTCCGCCACTGGGGCCGGTATGAGCATAAAAAACGCCATCTTCGGGTTCATAGCAGGGAATGGGAGGGATGAACCATGGAGTTATCGGCTCTTGAACTGTCTTCTGCTGCTGCTGCTGTTGCTGCTGCTGTTGTTGTTGCTGATGCTGCTGCTGTTGCAGTTGCTGCTGCAGCTGCTGCTGATGTTGCTGCTGCTTTTGCTGAGACTGTTGGACCCGAGACGAGGAAGAGGAAGAAGAAGAAGAAGACTGAGTTCTACGATGTTCTCCTCCGAGGTTCACGTTCCCGGATGAATCTTCCTCTGGGATCGGGCAATTCCATTCCGGCTGCCGTCCGAACTTTATCAGTAGTGGCTCTGGAATCGGAAGGAGGACAAAATTAATATCTAAGATGTTATCCTCTCGTTTCTTCAATTCGGGAACTAGGTGTTGGGAAAAGCGAACCTGTATTGCGGAGGTCGTTGTGATAAGAAACGGTCCTTTGGTTGTTGATCCGTCCCACTGCCCAGATGACTGCCTGTTCCCGATCCGGCGTGATGGCAACATCATATTCATCCGATGCCTTCAACGGCCTCTGGTACGTGATCATCGTGAATCCATTCACGACGGCTGTGTTCAACAGACGCACGCTTCCCGTGCCCGACTGGAAGTAGAGAGCAGACGTTCAAGAACATGTACGAGAGGGACGCAGCGGATTGAATAAAAATAAGAGAATTCTGTACTTCGATGATATCGTCAGGACAGGATCCACTGGAACCGGCACATTGAGCCTTCGCACCCAGGTAATAATCCTCGGCCACACCTTTTCGGCTTCCACTGTCCATGTACGCAACGACGACGTCTCCACCCACCATACGGCTTCGACTGTTGGCTCCACTCAACCCGAATGCCACATACTGGCGATCCTCTGGGTAGAAAATAAAACGAGATGAAAATTTTCCCTTTCATCCATAAGATTCAGGCCGGGCAGGAAAAACGATCAAGATTAAAAACGTACCGAGTCGGCCGACGAGTTGAATGACGATACTCTCGCCAGCAACGGCCCATCGAACTTCCAAGGCGAGGTCATCTCGTAGCACTTCGCAGTTCAACTTGCTCTATAACCGGGCAAGGACACGAGAACAGGACGTTTAAGCAATGTGTCTCCTATGCAGGAATACATAGGGTAATGTGAATGATGCATAAACCTGCTAATCGCCTGGAGATACTCACTTTTTTTTTCTGTGTGCAGTACACAGCATACTAGACGATGGAAAGCCTAGGGGCAGGGGTACTCGAATTACGGTCCTCGGGCCAGATCCGGCCCAGAGAGAGATGTAAATATTCCTCAAGTTGGCCTGAAATCTCAACTAGGTTTCCTATCCCATCCTGTACGGGATTGCGAACAGGGAAATTCGCCACTGTTCCCGCTAAACGAGGTCAGTAAAAATAATTGCGTTACTGGCCTCTGCCCTTAAAATTAAGGACTGATAAGTGAAGGTTTAGACAAGTGGCCTCAGGGGTAGAAAGTCACTATTCATGCTGCCTAAGAGTTCAAAAAGTTTGTGCATCTCTGCCCTGAGTCGTGTGAGGGAAAGTAAAGGAGAAAGAAACGAGATTTTTAAGAATCCCCCACGAAAGAAGCTTGGAATCGATTCATTCGGAACCATGGACGAGCGAAGGCTGTATACTTCCAGTCGCTATTTCTCAGTTCAAGGGGCAATCGCAGAAAAGCGAGAACCACTCGGGTCTCACTGGCTTTTCCTTCATCATACTTCTTTCTGCCATCGTAAACGCCGACTCATTAAAGTCCGTTTCTTGACAGCATTGACAGCACGTCGACCGGAGGTGCCATTCATTCGCACAGTACGATCGATCCAAAGGAAACAGCTAAAACGTTAGAGAAACAGATGAGCCCGTAATTCATGTCTCAGGAGACGCGGGATGGTGGTTCAACAGGGGTATAGTGTGCCCCATTTCAAATCTTTCAATCTTCTCAATTTCCTTCAAATTGAGAGCAGGTTCTTGCCAAGAAACGAATGCAGTCCACTTGGGGGAAGAAAAGAAACATGAACAGCAATATTGCCTGTCCATTTCACCCAGGAAATACAAATAATGACTACTTAATGGTTCATCTGTGGCCACGTTCATGAACACGACTTATAAATGATCAAGGCTTCTTTATAGAAGAAAAATAGGTCCAATGATTCCAGAATTATAAGGCATCTTTAGATAAAATTCCTGAAAATATAGGGTTTAGATATCCTGGACGAAAGCATTTTGCGCAGATTCTGAACAAATAGAGAAAGAATGATGCAGAGTAAATATGACCTAGTACACAACTCCGACAATTCTGCTGCATGCCCATTTCATGCAAGGTATTCACATCTTTGGTATACTGAGCCTAAAATTCTATTCGCACATCACGAGTGTTTTCCCAAGGCGTTTTCGCCACAAAATCTTGTTTCATTTCTTTGTGGATTTCTGGGGGACTCAAGACCATCGTTACCTCATTTGTCGCAATCGGTTAGGATTAACTGCTTTATACTCTATGGGGAAGCATATGTCGAATCAAGAAAGGGAAGATGATCCTGAAGCACACACCTTCATATCTCGGGCTATACAGAGTGGTTTCGCATGAAATTAATAGCCTTGCAGGACATCTTGCATATCATGGCAAAGGAATGAAATGTACCAAATAGGGAATCCCTACGAAAGCGTAAAATACAATTACTGCAGGCCCTACATGAGTGAAAAAGTATGCGAACTGACACGGGGGACATCCTCCACCAAGATTGCCACTCCACGCTCCGCTATCCCTGCGTATAATGTAACTCATGCATGACGATGAAGGGGGGTGGAGATGAAAAACACGGCAGGAACCGGTTCTGTCTGCCCTCATCAAATATCTCTATCGTGTTTATAACGGTGAAACGAGTTCATCTCTCTCTCCCGAGGAATTTCCGAACGGGAGGACGAGATAAAAAACAATTGCCGTCGGCGACCTGCTGTAAAGCTATGGAGGAAATCATCACGAAGAAAAAAGGGTCATTTTTTTTACAATTTAATTTCCGGAGGAAGAAAAGACGTCAGGTACGATGTATCACTTCGTTCCAAGAGTGATCTGATCGTGTAACGGGTTTCTAAGGAACTTCGGTAAGATTAATCGAAAAACCCTGCGGATTATTGGAAGCACATCGAAGCTCTAACTGCTTTCAGGAATCCTGAAATCAAGCCTTAAATTAAGGTGGACATATCGAGGACGAGAATGACTTTTTTTCTTATAAAAAGGAACGGCTCCCAGGCACAGATCAATGATGAAATCCGAAGAGGAATGCAAGCTATTTCAACGAAAGACTTTCCATTAAATTGGGCAGGGCAAATTAAATTGCCTCTGAGGCGGCCGAAACCCAAAATTTCATTAATTTCACTCCTGGTGAACGAAATTTTACCAGTGGGTCTCATTTTTGCCCTGCTGAAACGCCTCGAGTGACTTGTTTGAATGAATAATAAAAAAAAGAAGTGGTGTAATCCGTGATAATCCTTTCTGAATAGCATATTTCAATTTCCATTTGACGACAGGGACTGTAGGTACCATAGTCATCTAGTTCTTGGATTTCAACGTATTGTTATAAAACTGATCCTCAGTTTAAAGCTACCTTAAATTGGAGTGCATGCTACTTACGTTCTTCCTCCTCATAAACTGAGTAAAAACACAGAAAATGGTTAAACAGATGACATCGCCATCAGTCGGAAATGGAAAAAAACCTTCAGAATTCTCAGAAAGAGATAAGTCATGTAATTGAAAATTCTCAGATACCTGTTATTTGTACCTGAATCCTCCAAAGTTCCTTTAGATAGTTTCTTCCTTTGCAATAGAACTCGAGGAGTCTTGTATACGTGAAACCGGGAAATATGACAATTACAAAGCATGGCATTGAGCCCTCAGAGGATGTGAGGTCTTAGCGAGCGTTGATTGAGGTTCAACTTCAAACATGACGCACTTTCCTAGTACAAGAAATGCTTTCTTCGCATGGAAGCTGTTCGACTTCGTGTAACATTTTTAAGGACTTTGAAACTGATTCTATATTCTATACCGTTCTTGCCAGTCTTTCAAATTCTATCATTTATCCAGTTTCCACATCCAATCAACCGTCGAGCGAACACAGCTTCAGGTTTAAAAATTGAGTAACCAAGGGCATGAAACCGAAAGACCCGAGAATATTCCTAACAAATGTTTTGTAATCAAAATCGTCGCTCTGCAAGGATTGGAGACCATCCACTCATTATTTAATATTCATTTTGAATACTCGGCAATACCCTTGTATTTGCGGAATAAATTTGCATTAAATTTCACAAATGTGTTGAAAACATCAATCTATGCAGTGCAACTTTAGACAAAATGGCCTCAGTGAGAACAAAATATGAAAACAATAGAAGCATAAACGTTATAGGCTTTTTTTTTTTGCTAGCCAAAAGTTCCTCGGTACAAAAAGCGCAAGAGCCGTGCAGGATCATCCCACCCTGAAGCAAGGAAACAAGACCTCAGGAAGTAACAAACACCGGCAAAGTTATAAGAGATTGAAACGTTCGCTCCGTCGTGCCTTTCCGTAGAAGCGATACTTATTAGAACTTCATTTTTCCCTCATGCGACGATAATAATGCAAGTTTGCCACAAATACCAATACATGAAATCAGGAAAGTAGTGGGTATGTACGTGGACATCTCCCGTGTATTACAAAATATTTTTTTTTTAGTAATTGAGCAAATAAATTCTTTTACTTGGCAATGCTACGAATCGCTGTATGCGAATAGTCGCATCACGGAAGACACACAAGTTCACATGCACCTCATGGGGCAAGTACGCCCAGTGGAAGTAGCACAGCATTTTCATGTTTCGCAGACATCCGCCCCTTCATCGACACGACCTTCGAGAACTTTCAGCGTCTGACTAGCATTCGACATGGTCTCCATCGCGAGTACATCGCGTTTGGACAACAGTTACGGCTGTTTAAGCACTTTTTTGTTTACAATCCAAGGATTCGCTGATAGAATTCGCTGGAAGAAACACATACAGATATTCAGATTTTTTTCTCATCCTCTTGCCGTGTACGGATGAGCAAGAGGAGACTAAATGGAAAAGACAGGGCTTTATTACAAAAGTTCATGGAAGACAGACATAAAATGACACGTGCAAATCCCATCCCTTCAGAGGAACAGGAAAGACCTCTGTTGGTGGGCTCAGGGAGAGGGGGAAATGGGAACAGAGGAAAGGGAGAAGGGGGAAAGGGAATGTGAGAAGGGGAAAGGGGGAAGACGGGGACCGGATACCGTTTTCCCCGACGAAAATCAATTATGGGAAGTGTAAAAGAAAAATTGCATCATGGAAGCGTTGCCAAATGTCCCCCCCTCCCCCCTCCAGGTAAGCGGTGATGATGAATCGCAGGCAGAAAAAGAGTTAAGAGAAAAACCGACAATCCATTTGTATGGGCCTACCTTTTAAGTTCTTTTCCATTACGAGTGCAGAATATGGCACAAACGCGGACGTGAATGAGTAATGAATCCGGTGCCATAAGCGACGAAGGACAAACCGCACGTCAACCGCACCATCCCTACACGTTACCGATACACCTACTTTCTCCAGCCGAAAACCATGAAAAGGTTGTGTAATGAAAACCAGGAAGTCTAACTTGCTTCTTTTTTCTTTACGCGAGCTTCCTTTCGTTAAAGAAATGGCTCTTAATGCAATCGTTCAGACTCCCTTCATTTCGCATCCTTGCACTACCCCTTTTATCATCAATAGCGGTGAGCACCCAGTAGGCTCGTAAATGAATTCTGCTTTCCGGTTCCTGCGAGCCGGTAATGGTTTTGGGGATAGAGGGGTTGCCATTTTGAGAAGCCAACAGTGATGGTCCTCTCCGGGAATCACAATTTAGAAAGGGCGAGGGAAGGAAAATAAAAACAAGAGCCTGAGAAGTCATGGTAACCTTCTCCTGAGGTATCGTCGTAGAGAAATTAATTAAACCTAACCTATGAAAGATCTGCGTGTGAGATGGTACGGACAAGAAAGTCCATGCACTTGTCACTCATTCCAGGCTCAATTCGCCCTTTCCCATGCATTAACTTCACATTCACAAGGTGGGATGATCATGGAATATCATACACAAATATACCATATAAAATCAATTTATAAAACTCGCTCATTCGGGAGATTCTTGGTTTTTCGCCGGGTGTAGGAGTAATACACCGGGTCGATCTGTCTCTTCCTTCGAAGAGGTTAACGAGAGAATATGGTGAAACTGCTCTTTGCTGCTCCGGTATCGATGGAGTAAGAACTTACGGCGTTTTGGGAGTGTGAAATTGATCTTTGAGGCTTTGGATTGTAAGATTGTCTGTGTGGTCGAGGCTGATACGTGTTATACCGGGGTGGGGGTTGCGGAGCGTGTTGAGTTTGGGTGTATGTAGGCTGTTGGTAAACCTGAGGTTGAGGTCTGTAATGAGGTTGGGGCTTGGGTTGGGGTTGTGGTTGGGGCTGGGGTTGGGGTTGAGGTTGCTGATAAGCTGGCTGCTGATGCTGCTGGGGAATCTCATACGGTTGAGGCTGATATTGCTGTTGAGGAGGCTGATAGGGCTGCTGCTGCTGTTGGTAGACGGGCTGAGGCTGTGGCTGAGATTGTTGGTAGAACTGCGATGATGACGGAGGCGAAGGGTATCGCTCTCTGGGAGGATCGGGGAATCGGACGTGAGATTGTCCACCGGAGGGAATGGAGCCATGAGGTCTGACCTGAGCTCCTCCCACTCCCTGATACGTGGGCGCCGAGACTGGGTTCGGGGTGTACGTCTCGATCGGCGGGTGAAACGTATACGGTTGAACGTATGTGGGTTCCCCGGTCTGGAATTCCCTCCGTTGCGATACTGGCGCGTACGACGGCCTCGGTGCACTGGGATAAGGTCGTGGTTGAGGTTGAGGTGGAGGCTGAGGACGATGATGAGAAGGAGAGGGAGGAGCAGGATAATCCCCACGTCGCCTGCTCGGGTAGGGACTCTGGAAAGTCCAGACCAGACCAAAGACACGAGGAAGAGGAGAAGGTCGAAATAGACAGAGAAACAAGAACGGGGAGCTTTTCATCTCAGGTGACAGAGGATAGCATACGGAAGACACAAAACACATAGACACCGACACATAGGCCTACGGTGTGACAGGCCTCCCGGTCAGAGCAGGTCAGGTCAGGTCAGATGACGGCTCAAGTCCAACTTCGTGTCCATGACTCGTCTTCGTGTTATATAACACGGAATGCAGAGGGACAACATGAAGAGAGATAATAATAAAAAAGGACCACCCGCAGAAGATAGAACACTAAAACAAAAGGGCGTGACTATTATTGCATAACCTCCCACCTCTTCTTACCACTTGAAATAGAATGAAAAAATCGAATTGCGCCATTGTTTCTTTAAAAAAAAAAAAGAAAAACTTTTTTGCAGTCCATTATCTCCCACAAGGGTAATCGTTTCCTAGGAGGCATAGATACCAAAGGCCCGTGCGATGGTGAGGGTAATCTTGCGGTTACGAGATAATCGCCTCATCACCTAGTCGCTGTTATTATGCCAGGACGGCTTTTCCCGGTACTTGAAAAAAATAACTTCCCACTTCCGAGGAATTGCAAAGTCGTACAGGGTATCCCCGGAGCTTTCTCCCTTTCTTCCCGTAAGCCGACTGCGGTCGTAGGCCTCGGTCCCGGTCTCGTTCGATCGCGAATCCAATAAAAAGAGGGGTTGAAGTTGGAAGAAAAAAAAAAAAAGGATGGGTGAGGGGGTGTTGGAGTGAAAGTAAAGAAAAGGGTCGGGTGGCGAAGGTGGTAGCCTCGCCTTCGCTTTGGGTGGTCTGATGACACCGACGGCGTTTCGACACGCCTTATTTATCCCCTGACCTAACCCACTCACTCATTCGCCCCACGGCCGCCGCATCATCTGGAAATGGGAGACGGAAAAAAAAGGAAAGAAGAAAAGGAACATTTTCTCCTTTGTATCTAGTTCCAGCGCATTACAGAGTTTCGTCATTGTCTTCTGAGTAAATGTCTCTTTTTCAGATAAGAGTTCGCTGTCTTGTAGTGTCTGTCTCTCGCTCACTCTCTCTCTCTCTCTCTCTCTCTCTCTCTCTCACACACACACACACACACACACACAGAAAGAGCGAGAAACAAACTACACACATACACACAAAAAACAATGATGACGCAATGGAGAGAGAGCGGGATTTTGGACCGGTCTGAAGAGATACAGACCCGGTCAGTGTCAGGGTCACGATCTCCTCCAGAAAGGAACCACGTGTATCTACGGTATTCATTAGTCACCGTTGTCGAATGCCATCCTCGGTTCAGATAGTCAATCACTTCTCAATCAGTTCGTCGATGACATCCCACTCACTCGTATCAGTCGGACCGTGATGTGAAGTGAAATGTCTTTTGTTTCGATGTCAGAAGGCCTGCACTCCAATAAGTGCCCCTAAAGGAACCTTCAGCTGCAATGGTCTCATCGAACCTCTTATGCAAAGCCATGGCCCCTTCCAATATTGCGCAACTGAAACGGTTTCTTTCGAGGCACTTGAACACGGATCCTCATCAGGCACTCCACGCGTATCCCCTTTACCCTCTTATTGCGCATTGATTAATGCCGGTGCGGAATGCACCTGGCGTAGATGATACGAAATCCCATTCAGTCATGAACGAGTGGCTCCCCTTTGCCTTAAGGTATAGGACAAGAGTGCTTCACGACTGCAATTACATTACTGGATGAGGCTTCTCACCTGAGGAGCAACTCCGAGCATCTTCAAGGAGGGCGGGACGTTCAGGTTCCTCGGGACGGGAGTGGAGCCGAAATCCACCGAGAATTCCTTGCACCAGACACTCAAGTAATCGATGTCGTGGACGGTCAAATCCCCAGGCAATGTGAGGACGATGGTCTTCCCGTTATAGGCCTTCAATGGCTCTTCTCCACCGTTCTCATCCGGGACTTTGATCCCATTGTCCCCGGCCTTCCCTCGCCCGACCCAGAAAAACGCATCTACAGAGAAGATGAGGAAGCTTCGAATGAATCACCGCATGGTCTCTACTACCCTACACTTGATACCAAGAAGCGCAATGGTTCTGCTTCGGAGAAGGAAGAAGAAAAAACAGAAAGCTTTCTCTCTCTCTCAGAACACCGAGTCATTCGTGTTTGAAAACGCCCTATCTTATAGGAGATCCGGGTTCGACGGATGTGTGAAAGTACCATCGCTTACGACTGCAAACAGAGCGGGGCTGCAAAAGTCCGGCGATGCCGGGGCTTACCCGGGGCCGAACCGTCGTATCTGAAGTTCGGGATGAGAAAAGTCTGGGCGTCGACGACGACGATCCGATCCGACGAGACGCCGTGCTCCAGAGTGGGCAGCGCCCCGATCTTCTTCGGCTTGGGGTAATCCAGATTGCTCGGGACCCTGATGTCTCCGAAGTTCACGCCGAATTCCTCGCACCAAACCGAGAACCAGGCGATGTCGTCCAGGGTCTTCCCGTCTGGCAGCGTGAGCGTCACGTGCTCGGCCTGGTACGCTCGGATCCCTTCCTGGCTGATCCTGAACGGCACAAGATCGCATTAAAATCCCTCAATCCGTTGCATGTGGCATATAATTATACCCGTTGGAGCCCTCGGCAATTAAAAAAAAAAGATAATGCGAAAATAATTAAAAGGGATGACAAAAGATTCTCGGACTCAAGAAGAGCAAACTCATTCGAGACTCAACTTTCAAATTTTCATCAGTGACGAAATTGGAAGGGTTCTCTCGAACCCTCGATCATTCCCCTGGGGTGAAAAAAGACCCCAACTGTGTGCAGTTCTTGAGCCTCTAATTAGGGTAAATTGAGCAACAGTATAATTATCTTCTTGCAAGTCGTCCATCAAGTTCCCTGAGTGAATATGTCCTCCTTTGGCATTCTCGTGGAAACGTATTCAGTATCTTTATTGCGATCTAAGTCTTCTGGTCTCGGCTGCAGGCCATTATGTTTCAAATACGTCATGAGCGTATTTCATTTCATATATACAGGGTGGATATAAGAAAAGTTCATCCTTTTCATTTGAAGTAGTAATTTGGACGCGCTCGTGCAATTTTCAGGATGAATAATACCACTCAGTCCTGATCTAATACAATCGATATCAATGAAGCACGACTAATAGTCCGTATTAAATTATTTTTCTGCACGAGGCAAAAAAGAAAAATCGCAGTTTCGCACGCATTATTACGCTAACACGCAAGGAGAGACATCCTCCGTTTATTTTTTCCAATCGAGATTTCTTTAACAGCATACACAGCAACAACCATAAATAAAGTTATGATCGAAATTCACCATAAATGCCAAGGCGATGTTAAATGTGCTCTCCGCTTCCGACAAAAGCCCTCAGCCAAGCCCGCCTCTGCCCAAAGGATCATTTTCGAAGCACGTGAAGGAAAGTCACGTGCGTGCAACATCGACTTTGAACCTCGCACGGCAAATGGCAACTAATTACTGGTCGTTTTTCCTTTCAATGAATTGCAATCCATCGGGAAAGAGTATTGCTATTTGGACTCGAAACTGCTCGATCGCTTAATTTGTACGGATGTAGCAATCAAATGAAAAAGGGTGTACTTTTTTGGCCCACCCGTGGTACTCTAACGAGTACTGCACCTTTATCATCGGTGCATCAATCACTGGTCGACCGCAACGAGAGTACGCCGCCAGAGCCCAATTCATTAGCAATTCGCCTTCTATCCCACGACTGCGTGATAAGTTCAGCGGATCTAATTAGCCTCTTCATGAATTGTATCAACTCCAGCCATCTTAACTACACCGACTTTTCACCGATCGCATGATGGCGTGACGACAGTCGAATAGATATTTGGTTGCGTTCACTTTCTCGGCCGGCCGAGGATATGACGTCATAGTACATCGAGTACCATGACGTCAGCAGAGTACGGAAACTGATGATTTCTTGGACTCATTTCACTCCTTCCGAGTTAAGATGGTGTCAGTGCACCAACTATATTTTTTCTAGGTCTTTTCCAACTCCAGAGAGTCTCGTCTTGACGTGTAGATCTGGAAATTAAAGCTTTTCTTCTTCGAAGTATTTTTCTTGCTTTCCATTTACGGTCGTGCTTATTTAGCACTCTCAGATTCCAAGTGAAACGAAAACAGGGTGACGCCTTGTTAACACCCGAATGTGTGAACGTGCCGTGCGTGAGGTGTAATCATACGTGGCGTTTGGGATATGGCGTCTGGTTTGCGCAAACAGTGCGAGAAAAAGAGTGGATTCAGTTCTGGCGTCGACGAAACTAGATGCCGCGAAAGATGGAATCGCGGTTGGCCTCCGTGGGGCATCATATCATCATCTTATCGGAAGATCCCGCGAGCAGTAACCGCAAGTTCATCTTCGACCAAAATCTTTAAGTTGTTCCTAGGATGGAAGGGAACGGATCTTCGGCTCGGTTACACTTCTTTTCGTTCCCCCAAGAGCTATAACTGCAGTCTCGATGGTATTTTCTGCGATCGTTCGTGACGACATTAATTGAAAGGTACGAGTTTTTAAAGGACTCCATGGAATTTGGAACGGGATTCGAAAACGTCGTAGGAAGCGCGGGAAATAAGGCAAAATTTTCGTACCTTCCGGTTTCGTCGGCGATCTGAAAGCCGTTCTTGCCGACGACGGGATCGTCACCGACCCAGAAATAGGCAGCTGAAAAAAAAAGACATTCCCGCATGTAATTTTCCCGTTTCGTTCCAGAGATAAAAAAAAGAAAAGAGAAGGCAGTGGTACCGGGTCCCTGTCCATCGTAATTGAAGTTCCTGATGTGCAGAGTCTTGGCATCCACTGCATATACATCTCCGGTCACGGAGTGATGATAAGAATTGAGCGGTCCAATGAAGAGACCGAAACGAGGGTCGCCACGCTGCTGCGCCTCCACCAAACATCCTGCAATCCACATCAACAACAATGTCATGTCATTCCCCCCGTCTTCTCCTCCCATTACCCCTTGGCCCCAGATTTTTGGGGCAGAGAGAGGAACAGAGAGAGAGAGAGCGAAAGAGAGAGAGAGAGAATGAAAAACAAGGAATGGAAGGCTTGGAGGAAGGGAAGGGAGGGCAGCGACCCGTCGATCCTCATCACTGGGCTAGCCCGTTCTCAATCACGTTGTGATTGGGATGTGATTAGTCCATCAAAGCGGAAAGATCCGCCCCGGGCCATCATCCATCCCACTTCCCGGACTTTCTACAGAATATGGATCATGACTCAGCGCCATGCAAGGTATGTAATGGAATCGACGAGATGGAGAGACAAAGTAATCGATGGCCCTACGTTGTGAAACGTGGTCCCGAGAACATTGAGAAACGAGGAGACTGAGAGAAGAGAGACAGAGAATGTTTCAGGGTCGATTCCCCATCGTGCAACTTCAGGTTTGGAGAATTCCGTGGCGGCCCGTTACACTAATGATGTTTACCGTAATGTCCGCAGATAAATCCCTGACCGGGTGGTTTCCAGGTCGTCCTATTCTTCTATGTCCACTCGATAGAAAAATTCGCCTTTTCAACCGGCCAAGACCACGTCCAGATTCCGCGGATGATTAATTACAGCGGAAATGTTGCGAGATGGTTTATGACGACATAAATCGTGCAATGATGATGATGATGATGATGACGACGGCGATGGCTGCGGTTCCCCTCGATGGTCACGATCGGGGGGGGACAGACAGTACGATGACCGTGACACGTCTCTCCGAGAAGGGGAGGACAGAATCGTGTCTGCTGCAGGGGACAGGCCCCATAGTCCATACCCCATCCCCCCATTATGATACCCCATCAGGAGATTGAGTAACCCACAAGCGAAGATAGAGACAGGCACGGGTGTCAGGGTGATGGAGATAACCGGGTGAGGTCTCTCTCTTTGGAGGGCAAAACTTTCACCGCGGTCCCACGCTGTCTGCACCCCGGCCAGACACCCTTGCACACCCCATAGGATAGACCCGACAGAATATAAAGAATAGAGCTCTCGTACGATGATGTAACAATTGGCCTTTCCCAACCCGGCTCAAATCAGACCTCGCCCTTTCTCTGCATCTTAATGAACCGATGCCATCTGGCGGCTAGTGGAAAACCCTCCCAGCCGGGCTTCGATCCACTTCCACCGTCCGGGGACCCATGCAATCCGGCCATACATAAGACGATTGAGCAAGGTGCGACACGAGATTCGTACGTCATAAATTTCGAGGGGGCATATTTCAGGGGGAGATTCCCCGGGACTCATTCCCCGGTTTGCGAGGGAAAGGGTGGGCAGGAAAAGTGACTGCGGCAGGTGAATATATGGGTCAAGAGAAGGAACCGAACGATCGTGTGCGTATATTCCATGCGAAGATCACTCAGTCGCCTGCTCGTACATGCAAGAAAAGTCTTTAAGAAGCCTTTCACTCCTCTTTCTCAGATTAGCAGAAGGAGGTCAAAATCCCGTCTCCTCTCACCGAGATTGGCAACCGACTCGACGTGAGAGCTAAGCTTTCCCTTTTCATCCGAGAGGGAATCCTTTTCATTCCCACCCGATCGATGATAGATCTCTCTCCGGTCTGGAGCACGTGGAGATCAACCGTGGAAATTTAATCATTGGAGTTCTCAATGCGCACGGGAGAATGGAAAGGCTCATGGTTCATTTCGTGGATTCGATCACGTGACACATGGCCACCGACGCGTGCGAGAGATACACCGACACGCCTTCCTCTTCTTGCATCGATGGATTTGCAAATGCACACGCAAGGAAGAGGAAGCGAACGGGGACGACGAGCTTCTCCCATCGTCGTCGACTCGAAGAGTCGCTCGTGGGGTTATGTTTACGATTCCACCTTCTGCCGGAGGGGACGGGACGGGGCAGTCGACTCCTTCCCCCGACACTCATCCGCGTCGAGAGCGGGGCCGTCGGACGCGATGGAGAATCGAGATCGAGATGTCCTACGATGGATGGGGATAGAAAATATGTGGACGTGGAGAGGGGGAGGTTGGTGACCGGCAGTGGTTGGCCGACAGCCAAACGCCCCAGTCCCGTTATTCCCTCGGACGAGGGACGATGAAGGAATTCGCCACTCCTGCTACTTGTTTCTCTCTCCCTCTCCCTCTCCCTCTCCCTCTCCTTCCCCCTCCCCCTCCCCCTCCCTCTCCCTCTCCCATTCCCGAGATTTAGAAACTGGTCTTTCGACCTTGACACTTCCTTGGTGCCGGGTGGATTATCACATCATCACGCGGGAAGGAGAATCTAAGCGACATTCAGAAGGATGATCCGTGTAACCATAGACCGGTTTCGTGTAGCGGAATAATACGGTAAATGATTTGGGATCGCCTTGCCTGACAGTATTGCTCAATTTCTCGAGTCCGAGGCCATGATCGATGCCCTCGAGAGCACGCCGTGGACAAAAAGTTTAAAATTCTAAGAGGGGTCACACGGCTCCCCCGAGGCTCTTCCTCATCTGAAGAGAAATCGTGAGGTTACGGTCATGACGTTCTCTACTCGTCGCACGGAGGCGAAGCTAACTACGTTTGCCAAGAGAGGGAACCGAAATTATTTTGCGGTCACGAAACCGAAACCGAAGTTCACAGAAGCATCTCCATGTGTCTTTCATGTTCCACGGCTCTAGGCTACGGCAGAAATTCACCGATCCTCTCGCTTCCGGGAGTGGGAGGGGGAATGGGAACATGCTTTCAACATGTTCCCACTTCTTGCATGTTACTGGGAGTTGTACCGAGGACCCTTTTCTCCAATTATCCCACAGGAACAAACGCGGCATCGTGAAGCACGAGAACGGAATGCGACGAACACACGTCTCTGATGCAAAGCGGCGTGCAATTTCGACGGGTGGTCCCGGAAATTCCCGCAATTCGTTTTGACTTCGTCACCGGTTTATCTATTCACGATCACCACGAGGAATCGATTTTCTAGCGCATGAATTTAATGGATATGTTGCGACGCGATCGCCGAATAATCGTCGCTGGCGTAAAAATAATTGGAC